AACATAATCTCTATAAATAACAAGCTGATTGTAAAATTTATATACAAATGCAAAGGACCTAGACTAGCCAAAACATCTTTGAGAAAGAGTAGCAAAGATGAAGGATTAACAGTACACGATTTCAATATTTATTTAAAGCTACAGTAACTATGCTTTGAACAAAGTTCCAAGTCTGTCCAGCTCATTTTGCCCCATCTCCAGGAGGCACAAAGGGGATTAAGGGAAACATATGCTCAGGCAGAAATTTTAACTGACATTGTATTCATTCTATGTATCATGTAAAGGAAGAAATTATGTGGTTGAATATTAGATTTGCTAGTTTCACTGTGTGTTGAATGTTATATAAAAGTCATGGACATCTTTATAAATGCCTATTGATATTATGTAAAAATCATTTACTAAGTAAAAAGAATGTTTTCAATATCTTAATAAAATTTTATAGTTCATGAAAAAATAAAGGTATAATAACTAACACAGTGGATATTGGCATAGAAATAAATAAAAAGATCAATGGAATGGAATAGAAAGTCCTGAAAGATCCAGACATACATGAATATCTGTTTTTTTAACTTTGTTTTTGTTTTTGTTTGTTTGTTTTGTAAAGATAGAAGGGCAATTCCGTGGAGAAAGAGTAGTGTTTTCAACAAATGATCCCGGAACAATTTGGTCCATCTGCCTAAAAGAGTGCACTTTGATCTGTATCTTGTACCCTATGCAAAAAGGAACTAAAAATGAATTATAAACCTAAATCTAAGAGCTAAAACTATAAAACTTCTAGAGGAAAATATAGGAGAAAAATTTTTTGACCTTGAGTTAAAGACTCCTTAGATATGATATCAAAAGCATGACCCTTAAGAGAAAAAATTTGATAAATTGAACTTTATCAAATTAAAAACATTTTTAAAAAGATTTTATTTATTTGAGAGAGCAAGAGAGAGATCACAAGCACGGGGGAAGGGTAGAGGGAGAAGCAGACTTCCCGCTGAGCAGGGAGGCCAATATGGGCTCAATCCCAGGACCCTGGGATCATGACCTGAGCTGAAGGCAGATGCTTAACTGACTGAGCCATCCAGGAGCCCCCATCTTTTCTTTGAAAGACAATGTTGAGAGCCTGAAAAGACAAGCCACAGATTGAGAAAAAATATTCGTAAATCACATCCGAAAAGGACTGGTATATAGAACTTGTGAAGAATTCTCAGAACTTAATAGCATGGAAACAAACATACCAATTAAAAAGTGGACAAAAGATTTGAATTGACATCTCACCTAAGAAGTTGCACAAACAGCAAATAAACACATGAAAAGTTGCTCAACATCATTAGCCATTAGGGAAATGCAAATCAAAACCACAATGAGATTCATTAATTAAAGTGGCTAAAATTAAAAAGACAGCTTAATAGAGATAGAAATTTATTTTTCTGCTACATTAAAATCTTGAGTAGGCTTGTCAAGGGCCAGTTACAGCTCTCTATGGTGATAGAGAATTTGGCTGCTTTTCTGTTAGGACTTCATGATCCAAGACGGACCCAAGGCAGCAGAATTAAGGACAAAGAAGAGACAAAGTGCCTATCTTAGTCCTATCTCTTAAGGAAGAGTCCTGGAAGCTGCCAAATAACACTTCCACCCATACCCTATTTGCCAGAAATTAGTAGCAATGTAGCAACGCCATCATTTTTTTTCTTAAAATTTCATCATTCCACCAGTGTTGGAAGAGGGAGAGAAGGACTGGAAGCAGGTCCTGTGGGGTGGACTCTGGAGAAGACTCTGTAAAAAGGATTCTTCTTAGCCCATGTCAGGTTTCCAGCTCCTTCAGCTGTCCCCTCCTTGGCAGGAAGGGCTAGGTTGACTGAGATTTTTAGGCTTAGGACTTCCTGCTTGTCCTGTAAGTTACTGAGAAAAGTTTGTTAAAATCTGCACTTATGATTATGGATTTTTCTATGTATTAGTTCTGTCAACACTTTTTAATTGTGAAACAATTGGCACACAAATTTAAGATTTTTATTTTTCTGTTGAATTGCCCCTTTTTATCATTATAAAATCTAATCCTTTATTTCACGTAATACTTCTTATCTCATGGTCTACTTTGTCTGTTATTAACATAGCTAAGCCACATTTCTTTCAGTTGGTGTTTGCATGACAATTTCCCCCCTTTTTTATTCAACCATTCTGTTTTGTTATATTTAAAGCATATCTATTATAAATAGCATATAGTTGAGCTTTGTGTTTTTAAATTCAATCTTATAATCTTTGCTTTTAAATTCGAATGTTTAGGCTATTGATGTTTAAATTCTGATAATGTTGGATCTAAGTCTACCATATTGCTGTTTATTGTCTATTTTCCCCATCTGTTCTTTGTTCCTATGATGGTTAATTTTATGGGCCAACTTGGTTGAGCCACAATGCCCAGATATTTGGTCAGATATTATTTTAGATGTTTCTGTGAGGGTGTTTTGGGATGAAATTAACATTTAAAGTGGTGGACTTTGAGTAAAGCATTGCTCTCCATAATGTGGGTGGGCCTCATTCACTCAGCTGAAGGCCTATTCAGAACAAAAACTGACCTCCCCTGTGTGAAAGCAAATTCTGCTAGCAGATGGCCTTGAGACTTGAATTGTAACATTGGCTTTTCCATGGGTCTCCGGCCTGCTGGTTTGCCAGGCTCTATAATTGCATAGAACCAATTTTTAAAAATAATATCTTTTCCTACATATATACACACATCCTATTCATTCTGTTTCTCTGGAGAACACTAACTAATACAGTTTCTTAATTTTTCCTTTATCACTTACTTTGAATTGAGTATTTTTATTTTATTGTTGTATTTTTCTTTTTGTATTTTAATAATATACTTTTGTTATCTTTAGTGATTACCCTAGATCTAGAGATGTACTTGACTTATGATCACTTACTTTAAATTAATACTTTTACAATTTCTGCTCCTTTTAAGAAGTTTATTTTTTCACTTTAAACTACCCTACACCCACAATACTATTATTATCGTGTAGTTTTACAAATTTAATAAATCTCACAAGATGTTATTATTATTGTCATTATTAACTGCCAGTACTGATTTCTGTTTCTCTATACATTTACCGATTCTGGTGCTCTTTATTCCTTCCTACCATTGTTATGTTTCTGAATGGGCTAATTTTCCATCAGCCTGAAGAATTTCATTTAGTATTTCTTATAGCACAGTTCTTATAGCAGTGGATCACTTTAGTTTTTTTTTTTCCCTGAGAACTTCCTTATTTAATCTTTTTTTTTTTTTTTTT